GGGATGGAACAACAAGAACTATATCCAATGTAAGAGTATGGATAATATAGCAGATCTCTTTCCAATAACAAAACATGTACTACCATTAGCTATGGAGATAACAGATTGAGAAGAAATGAGGGCTGATTGTAACTGACCAAAATCCTTAGTCATATGGTCAGATGCACCTGTATCAATAATCCAAGTATTATTCTTAAAAATTGTAGAGAATACCAATGCCTTACCACCCATACTTGAGTAGGCAATGTTTGTTGTAGGATATGATTTGTTTGTAACATTTGCCATAGGCTTCGATTGGTTTTTTTCTGTGGATGTCACCATGGCTTTCCCTGCAAGTTTCTTTGTGAAGTCCTACCACTTAGGATAGCCAATGATTTGATAACATCGTTGTTTCGAGTGACCTATTTCACCACAATGAATACATACTAGAATGTTAGATTTTTTGGTTAATTGATTGCTTCAATTCTTTGAGGAACTAGACGATAGTCTTTGGTGAGTTCAATTAGCTAACATAGCTATATTCTTAGGATTCAGACAAAAGCCTACCATTGTCTATCTTTGTTGATGTGCTCTCCTAACATATGCATACGTGTTTTCTGAATCAAGTTTTGGATCTTTTCGTAAGATTTCTCTACAAACTTAATCAAATTCAGAATCAAGTCCACTTAGAAAAATATGGACTCGAAGCCTAGCCATAGCAAAATGCAATTGGATTACACCTTCAACTGTTCCTTCTTACAAGATAATCCTGTGATCAATTTTCTAAAAAATACCCACAAGTTTATTATAATATGTTAATAATGGTTGACCATTTTGTTTGGTAGAGAAAGATCTCTGGTTCAATTCAAAAATACAAGTCTCGTCTGATCAATCATAAAAAGTTTTCGATACAGCTTCCTTATATCTCTTTAGCTCTGGGAAGATGAATAAATCATTGCATCAACAATGTACTCATTGAGTCAATAAGCTAGCTTTTCACCTTCTGATCTTCAGCAATCCATGTTCCAAGATTAGGATCTCCAGCTGCAAGTATTTTTTCTTCTCCAATGAGATATCCAGTATTGATGTGAGCGCCAATAACATCTCCACAAGTTGATACTATAATGAGTAATTTAGGTCATCTAGTATAATATTAGTAGGAAATACATAATTGTCTTGGTGGACAATAATTAGTGGTGTTGGGTTACTTGGTATTGTTGGAATCATGGAATTGCTTGGTTCAATTAAAACAATGGAATTAGTTTCTGTCATGTAGTTATAAATGAACAGAAGAAAAAATGTGAGGGTGATTTTTTGAGTACGAGCTTTAGAATACAATATTCGTGTTAAAGAGTTCTTTTCAAATTAAAACTGCTTTGATACTATGTAAAAAATATTCAAAATCTAAGCAAAAAAAAATAAACTACTTAAAAAAAATAAAAATTACATAAAGGGCTATTTATAATAACCAATTAAACTTAAACTTACTTGATGTGCAAGTAAAGTAATTATAATAGCCAATTACACTTAAACCTACTTGATATGCAAGTAAAGAAAATAACAAATAAAAAAATTCTAACTTTAAACTTTTTTAAAATACAAATAAAATAAAAAATAAATTTTTTTAAAATATTCCTAAAATCAATAATTACAATTTATACTAACACTTTTTCATTTTTTTCTCTTGTTTCTCCTTGCAACCATCATCGAAATGAAGAGCTTCTTCTTTTTCTTTTCTTTCAGTTCTCCTTACACCCATCACTAGATTCAAATCAATGTACGACAGGCTAGATCTGACCCTTTTTTAAAAAAATAAAATAAAATAAGAATATCATTAAAAGCTGTGAATATAGGTTTCCCCTTTACAAGGACCATGGCTAGCAACCAGGCCGAACAACAAGAATATTGGTTGGTATGCTCTTATCCTGTAACGGTATACACTCTGAATACTCCTAATTAGTTCCTCTTCATCATGCAATCTTCCTTTCCCATTTCAATGAAAAAATCGATCACTTCTTTTCTTTTCTTTACGAACTCCATCTCGATTTTATTGCTAACTTCCCATATTTATTCTGCTTCTTTTTCTGAAGATCCTTTACTCTATCTTCCTTCTTTGCTCACTGTTCTGGGTTCCCCTTTTTCTTTCTAAATTAACCTCTTTTTTTCGAGCCTCTTTCTAATTTCTTTCCTTATTGATTTCCTATGTCTCAACATTGGTCCCATTTCACTCTCTAACTTGTCTCCCCCCTCTCTTCCACCATTTGTTTGTGTTTTTACCTCATCAAGATACTCTTCAGTCTTAGTCTTCTTCGAATCTTCCTCATCTGTCTTATAATTCGTCCATTCTCCCAGCCAAACTCATTCTCTTTTTATCTCCACCTCTTCATTGCCTTGATAACCGTGTCTATTTTCCATCTTCCCTCTTTCCCCTTCATCATTTCCTTTTCTCCTAAATCCTCTGCATTGCTCTAAGATTGTTTGTTTTGAATCCTCCAATCTGCTTATTTCTTCAGCAGCACTACTTCCTTCTCCATACTCTCGTGCTTTGAGTCTTCTACGTTTCACTCGACCCATTTTTCTGGAATTTATCCCAGATTTCGTTGTTTGACCTCCTCTATTCAACGAAGAACTCATTACCTTACTACTCCTATTTACCTCTCGCTTCTCCTTGTGACTGATCTTTTCATCTATACCCTTCGCTTCTCTAAACACTGGTTCTCTTTCTCTCCCTTTCATTTTTCACTCATTTTTAATGCTACTTTCTGAAGAAGTTTCTAGGATCCTTTTCTTCCCATTCAACTCGACCTTTACCCCTTTTGTAAGATGGCCTTCATATTTCTCTTTAGATTTAGCCTCTGACCCCTTTATCAACTCTAACTCAACTTTTCTCCTTTTGTCATTCTCTGTGTTCTTCTGGAATGGGCTAAAAACTCTCTTCTCATTTTCTCCTGGGTCGTTATCTTTGAGCCCTTCTGTTTTCTTTAAAATCTAAAATTCAACAATAGGCCCATTATTACAGGGCCCATACTTTAGTGTTTCGAATTTACCACCCTTCTTTTCGTCCACTCCAACTTCTCTAGGCCTTTCATTATAGCTATTTTTGCTTCCCCAATTACACTCTGACTCTTTCTTTTCGACGCTTGCCTTGTCTCTGCTTTCTTTTCTTCTCAATTCAAAATTCAAATTTCCCTCCCTATCATCCTTTGATTCGAACTTCTGCATAATATTTTTGTCCTCTGGTTCTTCACTTTCTAGTGTTTCCCTCTCTTGGTTCATCCTGCCGCTGTATTCATCGACGTTCTGAACACCCAACCATGACCCTTTATTCTTGTTTGGACCTCCATCGGATCCAGGCTTTCTTGCCACCTTTGTACCTCACCCTCTTCTAACCACTGCTCACTTGAATCCTTCTCTGATGTGTCTTCCCCTGCATGGTCAATCTTGATTCTAAGCTCACTTTTGATAATGTCCACTATAGATGCCTTCACTAAGAAGTCTTTCCCGTTCACCATTAAGCATGTGAAGGCTGTAATATTTGTTAAAGATTCCACTTCAATCAGGATCATTGCTTGGTCAAACCTCCACTTATCCATAGTATCTCTGTCCGATTTGATATATTTTCCCCAAGAGTCTTCTATAGCATTAAACCCATCTTCATGCCAAATATCAAGTGGAACTTTCTCCAGTTTGATTCACACTTAATACCTCCTCTCTTCTTCCCCAACACAATAAGGGGTTAAGCTTTGAAACCATGGCTCAAATAGATCCATGTAGTCCTTAAGCAACACTTTCATTTCCTTTTTTTCTCCGAAAGTTATGATCACATATAGGCCCCCCATCGGTTAGACTTGCGCTATGATTCCTTCCCTGAAAAAAGAGCATTCAACAGATCCACAATTAATGGAGCTCCTTAAAAAACCCATTGCACTCCTACCTTACCATTCTAGCTCTCCCTCAGCAATAACAATCGTTTGCCCACCACTCTGACTTCTTAAATGGTTACTCTATTTACCCTCTTGCTTTGCATCAACATTGAAACTCTTATTCACTTAAGACTTTCTGTCCTCTCCTTTTTTACCTCTCCAACAGGGTTTTTGTCGGCCATTAATGATTCTTTATACGTTTTCCTCCCTCCTCCCCTAAGCTCACTCATCTTTCTTTCACCTCTAAACCCCATCCTATCAACATCTGTAGTCCTCTGCTTATCAACTTTCATCACCCTAATTTGTCTCCCATTTATTCTCCTTCCATGCCCCATCCAAATTGCTTTTGTCATTAGGGGTATGCAAATGGTTAGTTCAGTTAATTCAGTTATTAGATATTCAATAACCGAACTAACCGAACTCTTATTTAAAAATAACCGAAACTAAACCAAAGTAACCGAAACCGAACTAATTCGGTTAGTTCGGTTCGGTTTCCAAAAATCGAACTTAACAATTTTTTTGTTTATATATATTTATTAATGTTGTATTTTT